TGTACTACTAATAGAGCAAAGTACGATATGCACTACTAATAGAGCAAAATATGATATGTACTACTAATAGAGCAAATATGATATGTACTACTAATAGAGCAAATACGATATGTACTACTAATAGAGCAAATACGATATGTACTACTAATAGAGCAAATACGATATGTACTACTAATAGAGCAAATATGATATGTACTACTAATAGAGCAAATATGATATGTACTACTAATAGAGCAAATACGATATGTACTACTAATAGAGCAAATACGATATGTACTTCTAATAGAACAAATATGATATGCACTACTAATAGAGCAAATACGATATGTACTACTAAGAGAGCAAATATGATATAACATACATTTCATAGCTTTCAAATAAAAATATTACTTTATAATGTATAATTTCTAAAGTTAATGTGACAGAAATTTTTGAAAGTTTAGGTGACAGGGTTATTATCAGTATGAAATTAATACTGTATAACATTATCGTAACCCCGTTAGACACGATAGTTCTTATATTACACAATAATATTAATGTAAAAGTAAATACAAATAACATACAATGCATCTACGGCTGTATTACAAATTCAGACGTATGAAGATACAATCATCACATAAAATAGTAATAATTACCAAACTAATTATCAAGGTATTTTATAATATATGTTATGATGGTTGCCAATTACGTAATAACTTGTTCCCCAGTATTTGTAGTATTTGAAAGTGATTATTAAAATACAACAATTAATAATTATCAATAATAATACAAATGGATTTTGAAATTAATTTCATAGAGAATTTTCACACAGGAATTGTCATATAAAAAATACATTCACAAGCAGGAAAAAATAAATCTCTCTAGGTTGACCTTTTGACCTAGATGTTCAGTAGATTCCACATGTTGGATGCTTCCACCGCTGAAACATGACAGGGAAATTGTGATATTGCAGGCATGGCAAAATGAATGAAACACAAAATAACAAAATATAAATCAAATCAAGAAACTGAACACACTGCATGACAAGATACATTCTCTCTGATGGGACTTCATATTCACTAAGTAACAACAAATTATTTTAATGTGGCCAGGTTAGCATGAATCATCATCAGCTTGGCTATGCTGATTTGCATATCTCCAATTTGCATATCTCTTTTCCTGACCTGAATAAATAACACTGGCAACAGATCCAGTGACAAAACCAATTTTATATTTTGTTTTTAGTTGTGAGTTTTCATAAAAATTCACTCAAGAACAGAAAGAGACCATGACTGAAATGCATACTGGTATCTCTGATATTTTTACTAAAAACTGTCACTTTTTTGTTTTTTAATTTTATATCGTCTATTTCATTCACAACATGACCAACTGTTTGCTTATTTATGTTTGTTGCTTCTGTTTGAACTTATGTTGCGGACATAATATTTGTAAGCAATTGATACTATCTCATCCTACTGCATTACTGCTATGAAGTGAGGCAACATACTGAACTGATATCAGAATTACATATTAATTGCTGACTTTTGGAAACAAGTTTCACCTTGTGAATTTAACAGTGCATGCAAATTTAATTATTTGTTAGACAGTAGTTTTATGACAAAAAACCTGGTGTAACAACAAATCTAAAGTATAATGGTATTTTCTATTTACATGGAAAACATTTTAAATCTAAATGTTGATTCGCTGTTTTCAAATGACCTCAAAGGTCCCAGAGGATTTTGAATCTCAATTTGAATTTCCAAAGTAATAGATGAACATTACTCATTTATATGGTTTAGAATCTTTTGCAAAGTTTGAAATCTAATGAGGCCTACCACCAGTTATTGAACACTGATCATTTACTAACTATTAAATAAAAGTAATACATTTATTGACAATGCTGTCCGAAAAGTGGAGAGGATATATTCAATAGGCAATGAACTGCCAGTATGATACATGTGGGTGTAAATAAAAAACAAATTTGAAATACAGCAGTTAAATAAATAAATAAATAAATAAATAAATAAATAAATAAATAAATAAATAAATAAATAAAATTAATGATTTCAACAAAAACTTTTTTTACCAGGGTGTGACATCATAACTTTCATTTCTGTACTTAACCATTTGTATCTTCTTTGAGAGATATGTTTTAGTAAATATTATTACTAGTGATAAACAACAACAAATTAAAGCAAGTCACCAAATAACTGTTATATTTGGTCAATAGTAGATACAAGTACTTGTTTTGATATTCACATTATAGACCAAAAATATCTCAAGGGCAGCCAAATAATAAACCAATCATTCGTGTATTTTTCTTTTTCTCTGTTTTTTGAAAGTAAGACAATAAACTACTATGGCATTGATTACGCATATATGCACAAGGACATACAGAGGTATCAAAGAGCCAGGGCAGCCCAACCTGGCATGCTGCCAGCAACTAATTTAAATATCAATATAGAGTAAACTATTTTTGACAGAGGGGAGGCAGCTAAATATATGTCTCAATAAATTCATCTTCAAAAATTTCAGGAGATCACTATAATTTTCCTGAGGTAACTAAAATGTGTATGATTTATATTAGCCAACACTACATTTCATTGCATCAACAATTCTTCATTAAAATTAATAATTTCTTTAATGCACATGTTTTAAATGATTCATTTTCACTAAAATTCAAATTGAGTTTGTAATAAATCTACATTTAGAAAATTTCACTGTTTTACTTTATGGGTGTAAAATTGGATCCCTGAACTTTAAAGGCTGCCACCCCTCAATGTTAGTAGAATGGTCCAAAACCTCCAAAGAGCAGCAGCACAGAGACAAACAGATCCACAACAATTCACATAAAAAAGGTCAACAAACGAGTGCACTTTGAACAATATATTGGCAACATCATCATTTCTAACTTTAAATTCTATGAATGGGAATCACCAAAACAGGATGTGGTTTACACCATATTTACAGGAGTACTGACAAGTAATAATGTAACCTTAAATATATATGACAATGTGACTTGCCTGTCAATTATTTGAAAGAATCATATGTATGTATGTATTTGTATTGAAAATAAGAAATGTATTTACATTAAAAATCAATCTTTAAAAACATACATAATGAGTTTATAAAATGATTAAATTGCTCTGTATGTATGTTGAATGAGTACACACCTGTTAGACAGCAGGGCACAACGATCTAATTAATTGGTTGGGTTTGTAGCAAACACAATTGCAGATCTAGCTTATTATTAAAAATGATAATATTGGTCTCTGGATAATATTGGCTTTTGCTCATAACTGGTTAGTTACCAGTATTGATCTCTTACAAATACTGGCCTCTATCCAATCCTGGTCTCTGGTCAATACTGGTTTTTGTTCATAACTGGTTAGTTACCAGTATTGACCTCTTACAAATACTGGTCTTTGGTCAATACTGGCTTTTGTTCATAACTGGTTAGTTACCAATATTGACCTCTTACAAATACTGGTCTCTGGTCAATACTGGCTTCTGAACAATACTGACCACTATCCAATATGGGCAACTGTCATATACTGACCTCCAACCGATAAGTAAATAAATAAATATAAGATTAATTATCACTGCATTCTGTCGTTCATATAAATTGCTTTGTTGCATGCATGTTTACTGCGGAGTGTGTAGCATACGACGCAATTGAATTCATAGCTCACATGTGGTGATTATAAATAAATACACACACACACACACACACACACTAAACATGAAACGACGTAATTTGAAATGATTCGTTTCACGATAAGTGTGTATCTAATACGTACATAAATCGTACTTCTATTTGTTATGATTGATATCGACTCATGTTTTGATCCATGTACTAGCGTGCAATACATACGCTACCACTACATTAATACATGTGATCATGGAGCTTTTTTTAGCTCCATGATGTGATATAGCACACGAATCGTGATGTGTTGTGTTGTCCTGACAGTCGTACGGATACAAATAATTAGCATTAATTATAATGACCTTTCTCCATTTGTCCATAATATTGTTCCAGCGACAATACTATATTTGTGATTATGGGAGTATTTACAAAATAAAAACACGACCCTTTAGGGGCCCCACACAGCTGATCGGCCAGCTGACAGTTGTATGATACCGGTGGAAATTGCATTTCAGTTGCCTATATTTGGGTGGGAAAAAAACTTTTAAAAACGATCTCCACTGACTGTCTGTGAATTTTTTTACTTTTTAATGAACACTAGACAAACCTGTAGCACCATAAACTCCCAACTGTCTCTGAGTTCCTCGGATCGCTTTATAAACTCAACTGCATCTTTCTTGAATTTAACCCAGGATATTGTACCAGTCGCCATTTTGCAATGAATGACTATGTCAACAGGGTGTGACGAAAGTTGTTGTAACAGCAAAGTCAAAACAAACCAATGAAAGGGATTGCCCGCCTCTAAATTTGTTGTCAAACGGTTTCAATGCACTCCACACTTCTACTACAACAACGACGAAAGCTGTCTGCAACAATGTCTCTGGTACCTCCATAATATTTTGAGGCTTTTGATTTTAGAGTTTCTAATATAATCTTAAAATTTCATAGAGGAATGATTGTCACATTAACAAATTGTGATCTGTTGCTCTACCATGAATAGAACGCGAAATAGATGAAATTGTTAAGTGAAAATGAGTTGATAGCGTCTATTCACGTCAAAGCATAAAAGCTTTGTGTTTAATTGCACATCCTCCCCACACAAAGAACAGCCAAATCAGTAAACAATTTTCTTTTGTCAGGTGTGTGTAGCATGCAGACTCATTTACTTTGTATGCAAACAACGTTTCATTATGATAAAAAATAAGCTCTCAAAACTAGCAGAATACAACAAACATCACGTTTTTAGTTCGCAGGGAGAGGGGGAATATATAGTGAAACTACTTTTCGGAGTTGAAGGTCCCTCGGAACAAAATGGCCAATTGTATATACTTATTTGTATCACGTGATGCAATGCTAAGTTAGTTTCTAGATCTCCATACCAATTACTGCGAACTAGCCAATCAGGATACACTCTTCGACGGGTCATCAACTGCAGTTTCTATGGTAACGGGGTCGGACTCGGCCTTGATGGCTTGACAGGTGCGTGACAGTTCAGCTACCCAGCATGTACGCCAAAGGAAAAGGTTCGAACGTACCTTCGGACAGTCAGGCGAGGGAAAAGTAAGTTTTTGTTATTTTTATAGCAAAACCATGCAGAAATTATGAATCTGCAATGTCGGATCTGTAGGGTTTGATACTTGTTTCACCGAGATCCGTTCAGGGGAACTCAAAATTCGCCGTCCCGTGTGCTGGTCTTGGCTGACTCGCTATTCCGTCTTCGTTCATTATGGCCCGTGGCTTGATTACCTAGTAAACAACGTGTAATTTTCGCTGTTTCTTTCCCATCTCAGGTTAGCGTTATATGTATATGAATATTTACTCCATGTTGGAGCACAGAAAAGTGCACAGACATTTTTGTCGGAGGTGAGTACTGCATTTATTTTGTCTACCTTTTTGTGTACAAGCGTCCATTTTGAATTTTTATAGCCTTCCTCCACGTTTTACGATAATAAATACCGTGCGCCACCGTTGATGACAATGAGTAGTAGCTTCAACATGTACTTTCATATAAATATTACCACTTATTTTTGCCAATGAAATGTTGTGTATTTTCTCTTTACAGATCCGATGGGAGAAAAATATAACACTCGGAGAGCCGCCGGGTTTTCTTCACTCGTGGTGGTGGTAAGTGTGCATTGTAGTCTATAGTAATATAGCATTAAAATGATACCAAGTTATTCTTAATGTCTTCCGTGGTTTCTTAATTGTTACGCCGTTATCGGCGCTATTAGCAATTTTCCCGAACTGCTCGAAGGTTGTTCTTCTGAGTTTGGGAAATGTATAATGTTATCGCTAGTGTATATACGACCGGGATTGGTTCACTTTCCCCGCTGTTTATTGGTGTCCCTCGCTCAATGGCAGCCCTCCATGTTTGAAAGAGGCCCTGTCTTTTGTTTGGCTTGCAGTGCCAGTGACCCAGCAATGAGTTATGAATAAGAGGGAGTTTAATATTAACTGGTGGAGCCACCAACAGAAAACTTTGTTCAGTGCGTCAGGTCGTTACACCTTTCCTTACTGTCTGTTTTGTAACTCGTTGAAATGACAACAGTAATATTTGGATGTTGTGTAGATGCATTGGCCTCGCTGCAGGTCTGTAACTTATATCATGGACCATTTAAATTTACCTTTTGTTGGGGGCTCCGTCACTGATTTTGTTTTTAATCAAGGAAAATAGGTGAAATGACACTAAAACCAGCTAGCAGGCTCATATTAAAAATATTTTCAGTATGTTACCTCATTTTGGAACTAAAAGCAGTTGAATAGTCTTTCACGCACGTAAAGAAAACAGTTATTCCGCTGGTTATGCAAGTATTTTTGTGTACACTTTCCATGTATAAACACATTTAGGTGATAACCCCAGAGTGTACCCCCCAAAGGTTACAAGTTGGACTTCTCACTATCAACTTTAGCAATATATCCACCAAGTGAAAATGTCAGTACAAATATTAGAACAGAAATACACCAATGAAATTTTTTTGATGAAGGAAGCAAGTTTCTTTTGTTGGACAAATTGCTGAGTGTACTGTAGTAAAACAAAGGAAGCTAGTGTGTGTAGTAGTGTCGTCTGCTACAGTCAGTTCATTTGAATATAATCACCAGTATATTTGAGCTAACATGTACATTAAAAAGAATTCAATTAAATTGATTTTACTGCTAATTAATTTGTTGTTGATTTTTTGTTTGAAGGACTCCATTTGTTGGTTTGTCAGCACTATACTGCTGGTGAGCATTGTATCAAATAATTCTGCATCTTGTTGAATTGTGTTCTTGATCATATTAAAATATTTGTGTGGGTGTGAGTTAGTGGAGGACCAATAAATAAAGTAATTTATACTGAAGAAAGTCTAGTGTACAGTCCTGCTGTATAAAATAATACCATTTACAACTTTACTATGAAAGCAAAGAAAGCTTTTGTTCATTTTGTTGAGTTCATTCTTCTGGGAATCCATAAACTTGACTTTGTGCCAAAAAGACCATTGGCGTTACCGCTTTCATTTCAACTTTCTAAATACTCTCACTTCACAGTGCTTTGGAAACAATATATTCATAAATATTACCTAGTCATAAATTAATTAAATTTTTTTTATATTTATATATTTTTATAAAAAGCTTAAAGCTACACAAAAATACATGTTTAAAAAACTGGTGGTATTTGGGGATCTCAGTCATTGACTTAACTGATGACCAGACAACAAACCAGCCATACTTTAAATTGTGTCTATTCTTAGTTTTTTTCTGAGGTCACAATAAAATTAAAAATCCACAAAACCTGTTTGCATACAGGATTCATGAATCTTGCCTTCAGTTGTGGATGATAGCGATTGTTGTGATTGGTCGTTAGAAATGCATATGAATGTTGTCTCTGTTCTGACATGACACTACACGTGGGTACCTGTTTATTTCAAAGCCATGGACATCAGCAGAAAATAGAGCTCAGAAAACAAATAAATTACAAATATTCTGAATATAAGCGATATTTGTGTTTTACTCCAATCTTTTATTTTCACAATTTGATGTTTTTATGGCATGACAATGTTTCACTGGATGGAATAATTCACAAATATTTGTCTCAGTTTACAGTAATTTGTCCATGAAATTGTTTGTATATATAATATAGGTCAGAGTTTGCCATATATGAGAACATGTAAAAAATGAATTACATTGGGTTTGTGGTTACTGTGTGTGTGTGTGTGTGCGTGCGCGTGTGTTCGTTTCACTGATATCCAAAAAGCTGCTTGACCGATTTCAGTGAAAGTTAGGTCATATGTCGTCCGTGGTAATCTACATATCTTATTATTTGAGTTTTGCAATCTTTGCATATTAATTAGAATTTCTGATACTAGTATCTCAAGATTTAACTTAATGGTTACTTGTAAGTCAATAGATCATAATACAAATAATATTTTGACATCTGTATTATTAGGCTACAGTTGTTGTAAATATTATATAGAATGTACTCACCCTGGGCCTGTGAAGTACCTTTTTGCAAATCTATTACCATACTTCCCCGACTATAAGCCCAGGGGCCTGAACATGTAAAATCAGGAAAATTAGGGGGTGGGCTTATACTAGAGGACCACCTCAGAAAAGATCACATTTTGGTAGGTTTAAAATATTAACCATTTTCCCAACCACAAACAAAAAATCGACATTGCATTTTTTCGTTCACAGTGCCAGTCTTCGGGAAATAATGCCTTTTTTTGAGGAAAAAAAATGCGGAACGATTTTTACAATGAAGAAACAAACATGTTCATAAAAATACACACATTTTATTACAATATGGTTTACATACCGTCTGAATTGACGGTGCACATTTTTGCACTTTAAATTCAGGGTCTGTGGGAAAACAGTCGAAGGCAAGATCTTTATCATTATCTTCGTTGTGGAATGTTTTCGATCATACGCAAACTCTCGATACAAAGCAATTTCTGCCACGGTGTTTTTCATCATGATTTGACCTTAAACAACTTCCTTTGACAGGTCACGTCTTTCGTTAACCAATTATAATGTTGTGTCGTACAGACTACGTTTACCGATTATTGACAAAGTAACTTTTTCAACGCAATCCAGAAGTGAATTACCGTGATGTTAAAATGCGATCTGTTAACGCTGATTTTGTCAAAAAAAACGGTGATTTTTTTTTTTCGTTAAAAGTTGTTGAATTGCAATTTTTGAAAGTTATACTGAGGGTGGCGGATGTATTTAAACTTTTCACAGTCGCCAACAAGTCATGTCGAAGAATAGTGTGCTCGTTCACATCCCATTCACAATGGTCTCAATTGACACGGTTATTCGGAAAAATAAAACAATGTTCCGTATGTTCGCCCGCCATGCACTCTGATAATAATGCAAGTTTTCTCATAAAAGCAGGAACCAAACTACCGTACCAATCATGATTTTTATCTAATGAAATACACTTTTACATGCATATTTTAATATGCTGGGGGAAGCCCTCAACACGTTAATTGTCTAAAAATAGAGGGATGGGCTTATACTCGGGATGGGCTTATACTCGGGATGGGCTTATACTCGGGATGGGCTTATGCTCGGGATGGGCTTATGCTCGGGATGGGCTTATGCTCGGGATGGGCTTATGCTCGGGATGGGCTTATGCTCTGCGAAGTATGGTACATAGGTCAAATAATATGCAAAAATAGTGACAAAATATGTTATAGATTCTTGTTAATTGTTAATTAAATAACTAAACTGTATAAATATCCCTGGTCAGAGTAGAAACTGAACATTCCAACAATCATAAGCAGTTATGGCAGTCATGTGTCTTACCTCTAACAATGCATAGCTACCCAGAATGCACCATTTTAGTTGTCGTGTGAACTTGTTATGGTACCACAAAGGCACATAGACTGTAGTTTGTGAATAAGGTAGGCTGAAGGTCGCCAACCGTTGTGGGAAAACAAGTTGAATTTTTTGACATCAAACTTTTCATTGTCATTGTGCCATATCAGGAAATATTTTTTTCGTTTAGTTTGTTTCAACATTGGAATCTTTTTTTTTTCAAATGTTTTATTTTTGACTTTGAATAGTGTGATCGATGATGTGCACAATAGAATACTGGCAAGTAAATATCTATCTTAGCTGCTTTCTCGTCTCCATTGGTCATTTTTATGACAAGATCTTGGTAGAACAAGACAATACAATGTAGTGCAGAATGACAGTATGATATTTAGCATGGTGCTATCAGAGAAGTGTGCTGTTCTCTCAGATCAGTGTGATGGCACTGCCATGCAGTTTGTATCCTGGGGTGAAAACTAGAATTTTATGTTTGAGAGTTAGCATAAAAATGTAACTATGCTTTCTTGGATTTATTTGTGGATTGAGAGAGTGCAAAGAGTAAGTGAAAAGTAATTCCTGTTGATAATTACTCTCTATGTAAATAATACTTTGTTTTAAAGTTACAAAAATATCTATAACAAAACAAGTTTACCAAAACATTCATAGTCAATCGGAGGGGGGTGGGGGTGGGGGTTATATTTTGCTTTGTTTTTCATACTGATGTTAATTCCATAATAAAGTTGTCTTATGTGTGTCCGTCTGTTCCACTGATATCTCAAGAACCATACATCAGTTTTTGATGAAACTAAGTGCATATATGCTTCGGGCTAATGCGCAGATTTGATTAGATTTTGGTAAAATTTCATGCATATTAGTTACCTAATTTGCATGATAATAAACTAATTTTTAGCTGTTCTATGATTATTCCATTGATATCTAAAGAACCACGTATTGGATTTTGATGAAACTTGGTACATGGATGCTCTGAACTAATGCTTGGTTTTGATTAGTTTTTGGTAAAAATTACTAATTACCTAATTTGCATAAAGATTAGTCAATTTTCGTTTTTTCCACTGATATCTCAAGTACTAATCATCACATTTCAATGAAACTTAGTACAAAGATGCTCTCGGACAATGTACAAACCTGATTAGTTTGGGGTTAAAATCAGTTTATATTAATTCCCTAATTACTTAATAATTTATAATTTTTTTGGGTTCCAATCACATTTCAATAAAACTTGGTACATAGATGGTCTATTACATTTCGCAGACCTCATTAGTTTTCCATTAAAATCTGTTCATATTAATTTTCTGATTTGCATTATTAGT